TTTTTGTTTGAAAAAAAATTTATTTATTTTTTTTTACATTAAATACTAAAAAGATTAAAAATCAAAAAAAACCACATCAGAACTAAATAAACAAGACATTTTTAATATCTATATTGTAAAAAAATAAAATAAAAAACTTTTGGTGTTGTCTTCTGGTACCAGACTTTTACTGAAATTGAACTTAACCTAAAATTTAAAAGGAACAATTAAGATTTATAAATAAAAAGTAAAAGAGAGCCGATAAAGAATCTTCAGATCTATCATCAATGTTAAACCTTTTTATAGAAATTTTTTGAATTTAAATTGTTGTGACAAAATCTGGTTGTGTTGTGTCAAGCGATTGTTTTAATCAAAGTGAAACAAAAATATAGAATATATATATATCGAGATCTATTATCTTGGGTATTTCTTATTATTGGTAAATCTATTATGATAGTAAGTTCAGAATCAATACTTATTTCTTAATTGATAATTATTGTCAATGTAAAGGTTCAATTAATCTGTCAACTAAATTGATACCAAAAAGTAATTATCTTTTGATCTGATCACTGATTTAATTTCAATTTTTTGTGTTATTTTTACAAAATTAATTGGTTTTTAAGATCTTTGTTTAATTAAATTATTATTTTTCGAATTCTTAAAAGTGTTATATATGCTGAAAAATTATAAATATTAAATTGGAATTACTTTTTAATACTATAACCATATTATTTTAAATTATTACACCCTTTTCAATTTCAATTAGGAATTGAAATAAAAAGAATAAATTAATCTTATATATTCGAAAGAATAATTAATTTATATTAAAAGATTTTTTAAAATACACTAAATAATTATTTTTAAAGATTGGGAAAATAATACAAGATTTATTTGTTGGTTTTATTATTCGGGTATACTTTGGAATATTTTTGAGTTAACTTGAGTAAATATTTCAAAAAATATTTTATATAAATCATTAATAGTTTAAAAGTATTAAATAAAGATTTATTTTATTTCTTAACATTCAAAAGAATTCTCTATAATATAAGATTCTGGTAATTTCTGAGATAAAAAAATGGATTTATGTTTTTTAATAATAAATAACTTTCGAAAAAATTTCAAAAAAGGTTAAAAATAAAGAAATAGAATTTTTAAACATAAAATTGTTTATAAATAATAAAATTCTATTAGCGAAATAAAATTAATTATTTGTTGAAAGATATTATACTGATAAATAATAAAATATATAAGGAATACAGTAAAAAAACCGAAGTTATCTTTTCTTAAATATATTTTTTCAAAAATATTAATTATTATTTAATTTCTTTTTTTTGATATTCTCAAGAATATTTGGATTTTCAGAATATTTGAAATTATATTCAAATAATTTCTAAATATTATATAAAATAAATTAAAAGTAAAAAGCTGGGGTTAATTATTTGAAAGTTGAACAAAAATTCTAAAAATAAATTATTAAATTTCTCAAAATTATTTTAATTTCATTTGTTTTTCAAAATATTATTTTCTTTGAAATAGTAATTATAGATATTAGTATAATTAAAGTTTTATTATTTTATCGTGTTGTATAAATCCAAATGTTTTTTTTTATTTGAACAGAATCAATAATATCTCTACTTCTAGTCTAGATTACAGAATTGTCATTGTACTCCACTAATTTCAATCAATTAACCAACAGATAATCGGAATCTAATAATAGTAAATTATGGTAGGGAATATTTATTTAAATAATATACCCCCCACTTTCATAGTTTCAACCATTTACAAATTATTCTCAGAATTCCCCCCTCGACAAGGCTATTTAATTTCATAAAGTGGTCAATGCAAAAATCAACGCAGTAAAATTACGAAATTTATTGTTCTTGTTGAGAATTTTTCATCAAAGCTCGTATGGTTAGAAAACTTAAGGTAATAAAGAAAAAATGAAAATAAAAAATTGAAAATAAAAAATTCCTAAAATAATTGTAAAATATATACAAATTCGGGTACATAGTGTCACACTTTTCCGAGTCGTGCCAAGGTTTTTTTTTAATTTGTAAGAATTGAGCAAAATCAATGAATTTACTCCATTCTTTTAAATTAAAAAAAACTAATGAAGGTGGAATATCAATTTATTAATCACAGTTTGTGTAATCTTATTTATTGCTAATAATCTTTCTATCGGGTTTTTTACTCCTCCTGTTTCAGTGGAGGTGTCTTCAAGTGTTGTTGAGTGCCTAGGTTTTCTTGAGGTTTTCTATTTTATTTGTGAAGTGTTCTAGGTTTTTTTTGCTTTTTGAAATAAACAGAAAATTTTAATAAATTTTCGTTTTATTTCGAAAAGTAAAAAAAACCTAACGAAAATCTGTAGATTTTCCAAATAAACAGAAAACTTAAGAAAACCTAACAGAACTTTTTTTTTAATTTTTGAAATTTTCTTTTTATTTCTCAAATTACAAAAAAAAGCTAACTATAGTTTTCCAAAATTCGAAAGTATTTTACTCATTTCTTTCAAATCCTGGAAAAACTTAACGGCAGTTGATAATTTTTAATTTGATCATATAAATGATATAATATTTTTTTTACTTTAATATTTTAATTATTTTTCTTCTTCTCTTTTTTATATAGGAAATTTTCTTTGATTACTCCTTTCTCACAATAAATAAAAAGTATAATTAAAGATTTAAATTTTTTTTAAGAAATTTTTTTGAGAATCTAGAACTGAAGAAAATCAATATAATTTGGTAAAAACAGTCAAGTGTTTCGATTCCAGTGATTAGTATAGTGCTGTCATCCCGTTAATAAAAATTATTAATTACACCCTCGAAAAAAAGAAAGGGAAATTTTTACTAGTACTGGGAAAAGATGTTTCATAAACAAATTTTTATAGTTTCTGGTTTCTGTGATTGTGTGTACACTGTTGTTAAAATAAACTGCTGAAGAATTATTTAATATATAGTTCTTAATAACTGTTATGTTTCTTTATACTAAGAAGTCTTCACATTAAAAGGACAAATAAAGCAACAACAAATGATTCGCAAATATGATACTGGTTTCTTAAAGATTTTCTACTTTTAAAAAAGAAATAATTAAAATGAAAGATCGAAGGAAAATTTTTTCTCTATGGGGTGGATGTTTGAAATAAATTTTTCAGATATCCCACAAATGTTAACTTATTATTTTTGTTAATATACTATAAAGATTTAATTTAGATATTAAATTAAATTTTTCCTACAAAATAATGTTTTTTGATGTTTTTTGTTGTGTTTACAAAATAATGCCTGTTGTAAAGTTTAATAAGTATTTCAAAATAAAAAAAACAGTATGTTTCTTCGTTTGAGAAGACTTATTCGGTTATCCCTCAAACGAAACAACATCAAAAGATATCTAAATATTATACAGTCGTTCCAGCCCTACCACGAAATCTATGATAAACATAAAATTCATTTTCTGTCTCAAACTGCCCTTTGTATGACAGGATTTTATGGTTTTGTGATAGCTGATTGGAAACCATAAAATTTTATAATAGAACGAAATTTCCCTTCTAGAAAATAGTAAAATTTCAATTTTTGATTACAAAACTTCTGAATGATCTATAATTTAAAAAAATTTTTTGGTTTTTGGTGGATCCTAAATTTCTAAAGAACTTAAAATCAAAAGACAAGACCATTTCTGAGAAATAATCAAATTCGATCTTCGATCTTTATAAGCTTTTTTTTTTGAATTTTTGAATTTGTTTCCATAAACACAAAGATTATTTTCACAATCTTTCAAATAAGAAATTTTTTTAAAAAACTTATGTCAAACCATAATATATATATATGATAGCGTATAACCGAAATTTTTTTTTTGTATTTAACTGAGACAAAAAGTTCATTTCTATGTCTCTCAAATTTCATGGTGGGTTTGGAAGCGCTGTCTGATTTCTTAAATTTCAATTATTTATAAATAAATTCTAGATTGAAGGATCAAATTACTAAATTTTATATAAAGCAAAAGATTTTATCTTTGATAGAATTTTTTATTATCAAAAAAAACAAAAATTTTCATAAAATGAGAAAATAACAAAATATTTTCATCAAATTGATTCCTAATTTAAAATTAAGATAAAATATCAATTAATTTATGTTCTAAATTGATTTCAACTTTGGTATACTATTAGTTAGTGAATTTATTTTCCATTAAAAAAAAGAAAAAAAAAAGGCGAGATTTTATTTTAAAATACCAATTATAGTCGTTTGATATATATTATTATGTCTATTATACAATTGTAAATCCTATCTGGTTATAAATAGTTATGTAGAATTGTATTGGTTGGGGAAAATTTTACAGTTTTACTAAATTATATGTACTTTTGATGGAATTAATGGGTTTTTTAAAAAAAAATATAGTAATAATAATATTCTTTTGTCTAATTTTCAGTATTTGTATAGAGGGTTAAAGGTTTACAATATCTGAAATTTGAATAAAAGATTATCTTGTGTAGAATGAAGTAACATGTTAATTTGGTTCTTATTTGATCGATCTTGTGTTTGGTATGAGTTTTAATAGTATTACAAAAATTATAAAAAATGACATTTTTTTTTTTTTCCGAAATCCGAATTGAAGTTTGCAAGACTAATTTATCAGAAATTAAGTATTAAAAAAATGTGTTTTGTGAATTTTTGATTGAGATTTATAATTAGATTTGGTTTTATTTAGAGTTTTTTCCAAAAAAATTTTTTCATTTAATTTAATTGACAAAAAAGTAAATCAAAATTTTTTTCTGAAACCCAAAAATTTAAATTTATTCTTAAAAAGCTACCAATCTATTAATCTTTCACTCTTCAATTCGGATTTCGCGAAAAAAAAAAAATTGTTATTTTTTTAATTTTTTGTAATACAATTAAAACTCATGCCAAGCACAAGATCGATCAAATAAGGATTAAATTATCAAATATCAACACCTAATACAAGATAATCTTTTTTCAAATTTCAGGGATTGTGAACCTGATTGAAAACAAAAAAAAAATAATAAAAAAAAACGATCCAGGTAGGGCTCGAACCTACGACCTTCTGATTAGAAATCAGACGCGCTACCACTGCGCTACAGGACCGATGTATTAAATTGACTTATATTATTTTATGATATTAAATAATATCATAGAAAAGACAAATTTGGATTAAAATTTCGAATTTTCCAACAAAAGATCTATAAATATTTAAATACATAACTATTAGTACAACATATACAATACATAGAATAATAAATTGTATCTCTTTTCTATTACAAAAAAATATAACCCTTAACAATTTCTATTTGCTCACAATTTATTCTCAAAATCAGACAAAAAAATAAAAATACCAAAAACACATAAAACAGTTTTCTACAAACATCCCATAAAAAAACTTGAAAAATAAAAATCAGATCAAAAAATCAATAATGAAAACCAAAATCATGGACCCAGAACAATAACACGTTGCCGAATAGTTACTATAAATAAACTTTATTTGATTAATTTGTTATTAAAAATATGATGATTCTTAGATCAAAATTTTATACAAAATTGAAATTTTACTTGATAACCAAAACAAGAATTGTATTTAGATAATCAAAGAGATCTGAATAATCTTTGTTGGTACAATATAAAACAATATAATATATTATTCTTAGGAATTAATTGTGTTTCTTCTCTTTTAATTGATTTTTCTTCATTTTTTCGGTAAGTTTCTATTAAAAATTGGGTTGTACTTTTTTTTTGCAATGATCAATTTAAAATTTCGCCTTCATTTTGCTTTTTACAATTTTTTCACTCTGCTTCAAAAAAATTTTTCTTGGTTTTAAAATTCAACTTTAAATCAAATGTATTGATGTTTAAAAATGTTTTTGGTGATGAAGTCAATTGAGAGTAAGATCTTCAACAATTCTAAAAAAAAAAAAAAAAAGAAATTAAGAGTCAAGTCATTAAGGTTTTAAAATTATTTTTTGATATGTAAAAACAATAAATTATTTTTAAAATTTTAGGAGTTTCTAATATTAATTAAAAACAAAAGAACCGATGAGTCATACAATCAGTCTCAAAAAATCAAAAATGAAAAACGAGAATATTGTTAGAAAAATTACGACAAAGATCAATACTCAGTTTTCAATTTCAATCTTTCTGAATTCAAATTTTGAAAACAACTGTGTTGGTTTTTAAAGTTTCACTATTGGGCACTTATTGAGACCTTGAAGATTTGTTTTTTTTTTTTTTTTTTTCATTTTTCGAATCAGTTATTTACATCTAATCAAAAATGTTTTTAATAATACTTAATCTATAAAATTGTGAACGTTGGAAAATAACCACCTATAATATTAAATTAAATTAAATTAAATTGATTGTGTACTTATGGAAGTTATTTTTTATTTAAATTGAAGAAATCTAACACTTTAGAAAGATAAAATAAGAAAAAACGGATTTTGTATAAAAATTTGAATTTTTTTACAAAATATTGTGAATTTTTGGATAATGAATATCCGAAGATCTAATGAATATTTTTATTTGTGAAATTATATACTTAAAAATTCAAATAAATATCTGAAAATTTTCACTTTATTTTCCACTTTACAATTTTTTTTACACAAGCTTTGAAGAAAGCATTTTATTCTTTTAAACGAGAAAAAACTTTGTAAAATGGATTGTGCTTCAAAATATTCTTTACCTTGAGTTGTTTTAATAGTTGAGATGTGCAATTACAAAATGGGAAAGTGAATTAAGAATTTTTTTAAATATATTCGAATTTATCAGTATCTAAAAAAGTGCAATTCCACAAAATATTTTTTTGTTCGCGTCACCACTTGGGTATGGAGTAATTCCACAGGAAATGACAAGTGCCTTCAATAAAAAAATTTTCCAAAGTATCTGAAAATCATTGTTTACTAAGGATAGGGTGGGAGTACATTATACAGTTAGTTTCACTTTTAAGGCACAAACTTTCAACGAAATTTAAGGCACTAAAAAAAATCTCAAATTAAAGCACAAAATTCAAATTCTAGTAAAAATAAATTGTCAAAAAAAAAAAATTCCAAATTTTGTGCCTTAATTTGAGGTTTTTTTGTGCCTTAAATTTCGTTGAAAGTTTGTACCTTAAAAGTGAAAATGACTGTATAAATTTTTATTTGTGTTGTTTTTACCCAACTTGAGTATTCAAATATTTTTTTTAATTGTGTATATTCATATTTTAATAAATATGTGACCAGAATATACCCCAAATATTCATTTTTTGCCTACCCACCAAAAAAATGGAAATTCAAAAAAATTAAAAAATTGATTTATAAAAAATGAAAAAAAAATCTTTTATTTTAAGATAATAGATGTTAATTTTGATTTAATTGCTTTTTATTTACCTTATTTTATTATTAATCATGGATTGTAATTTTTTTGAATGGGAAATTTTTGATTTGCAAATTACCTTTGATTTTTAAATATTTTTTCAGCAATGAATTTAAATTTCTATTTTTGTTACATTTGTATAATCTTGGGTTTATTTTCAGACAATAGGGTATTTTTTTAATTGTTATTCTTTATAATAATGGTTTATTGGATATATTTGTATGGGTTGATAATAATTTATTAGGGGTTAAATGGAGAAACTAAAAATTTTTTTGAATCTAGATTGAAATTTTTTCTAAAATTTTCTTTTATTTTGGGTTGAATCTTTTTAGTTTTTTTTTGATTACCAGAATTAAATCACTTTACATTAATTTTTAAAAAATATTTTCTATTTATTTTTTCTTTTTGAAAAAATAATTGAATTTTTACTTCTCTTAAAAGTAAATCAATCAAAAAAAATTTTTCAGTTAAATAATAATAAATAGAAATTGGGTAAGAAAAACAAGGATGTATCTTGGTATAATTCACAGAAATCAAGAATATAAAGAAAAACTTGAAATTTTTTTTTTAATATAATATTTTTTTAATTTCATTCTTGATTTCAAGAAATTTATAAGGAAAGGTGAACTTTCTTTTTTGGTCTTCTCAAAGAAAAGATTGTTTTCAAATACATGTCCCCTGGTTTCTAATTTATTGGTTTATTATTTGATTAAATATAAGTATTCACATAAACGCATTTATTGATCAAAAATCTAATTTGATAAAACCAAAAATTTCATCAAAAAAAAATTTTCAAAAAATTGAAAATTATAAAGAATAAACTCTGATTTAACTTTGGTTTTTTTTCTTTTCACAAATAGAGCAGTGATGGGTATTTTAATTTCAGTATTTCAATATCCCATTGTACTCAAAAATCTTTTTTCTAGATTTTTTTATAAATTAAAATTTTTCAAAATAGTATATTGTGTCTATTTAAAAAAAAAAAAAAAAACCTTTCGATAAGCATGGATTCTTTAGGTTTTACCATGCTATCAAAAATTTTTATACGTAAAAATATCTAATTCAGTTCAATAGACGTTTCTCAAGTTGTTTTATAACCCTCTACATTTTGTAGAGTAAGTATTTTGTCAAATTTTTTAAAAATAAGATAAAAATATCTCATTTGTGAATTAAAAAAAATAAAAAATAAAATCTTTAATTTCTTAAAAAGTTCCAAATAAGAAGAATTTGGAACAAATAAATTGTTTTTAAAATTAAATCCACAGTTATCCAAAGTTGGTATTGGTAATTGTTCTTTGGGTTTTTTTTTCTAAAAAATCTCTCCTTTTCCATTATTTGTTCTTAGCAGATAGACCATACAACACTATTTAGTTTATTTATATCATAATATACAGGTTAAATAGTCCTCAAAGGTTTTATTTTAAATTCCCTTTGTTATTTTTAATGGTAAAAGGCTAAACACTAAACTATCTTAGGAAAATTCAAAACTAGCCCAAAATAATTCCTAAGATGCTTTAGGATCAAAACACATCTGTATTTTGAGATTAAAACTAGAAAATTTTTTACCACCATGAATAATTAAAATATGGTATTCTGAAAAAGTATTTTCCATATTTTCAAATCGGTACTTTTTTTTATTTGTGTTCGACTGGAAAATCTAATTCGTTTGTCAATAGTATACCTAAGTTCAACTCGGTTTTGAAAGAAACCCCTTGGATATTTTCAGTAAATTCATAAATTAAGTAGGGAATTTTTCATTATTTTTCAATTGTTTATGTATAAATATTTTACTTTTGAGAGTTAAAAGTTTCCATCAAAGAATAACTTAATTTTGAGTTTAATTTTCCAATTTGATCCTTTATTTTTAGAATTTCTTTTTTCATAATAGAAAAAAAAAAAAAAAAGCCACTTTTTTTAGGGTTTATTGTTGGTTTCTTTGATTGGTTAATGTATAGGTCTTCTATAAATCTAAAACAATATTTTTAAAATGAAACATGGATTAAAATTTTCATTGTGGATTATTTTGACAAGTTTAGGGGGGCTAGTATCTCTTATATATATATATATATATATATATATATATTCCCAAAGGTAATAGGGTAATTATCCACATAAGGGTGTAATTAAACTGGTTATGCAAACTCTTTTGTTAACTTTAGAGAAAACTGGGTGATAATTTTTCAAATATTTCATTTTTCTCAATTAAATTGTAAGTTAAAAGATCTAATCCTGTATTGTTTGGATTTTTGGCTCAAATTAGAAAAAGACAAATTTGCAAAAAAACAATTCTTTTTATATTTTGAAGTAATCTCACTTGTGATAATCCATGTGAGTCTGTATGAACAAATAACCTTGAAACTTTAATCTTCTTTTAAAAATATTATAAAAATAAATTAAATATTGAATCCTGGAAGATCTAAAAAAACTGATCATCTATTTTTTTCACAAATATTTCTTACATTTCTTGAAATTTAAAAGATTATATAATGTTCCTATTGAATGATCAAGAGTATAAACAAGTAACTATTTATATCAAAATCGGTTATTTGATAATTATCTAATTTTTTTTTTATTATTAGAATTATTACTTTACATTTGTTTCTTTATTGATTTGAAAATCTTTACAAAATTAAGAAATAATTGTAAATTATATTGATACCATTAAATCTATGGGTTATCAATAACTCAATGGAAAAAATAAGATTGGGTTATTCATTATTCATTATTAATAATCAAATTAAAAA